CATGTTGGACTGATTTGCGACATTCGCAGATGTTCGCGTGGTTAAGTTCGTTTCAGCTAGGGTGGATATATTTTTCTGTACGTGACTGGTAACAACAGGAAAAAACCTGAGAATTTGCAATTTTTAAACGAGACGCATAATCATGATATATTGCTATTTCTCTCGCATTTTTTACTTATTTCCCTTTTAAGTAACTTTATGATCGACTACTCTAACAGCTACATTACAGCATACGTATTTATGTAAATGTCAAGATAAATGTCAAATGGAAAATGGAATAACATATTATCAATAATAATGTAGACTCTTAAAGGTTTAATGAAACGAAACGATAAATTGATTGAAAAATATCTATTAAGCATGCATTATAAATATGAAATCTTAAAATAAATTCTACAAAAATATCTAAGAAAACAAGAAAGTATATTTTCAGAAATAAGGAATGCCTAATCAAACTTCTAAATTTCGAATATTGTGAGCGCGCCTTTAACAAAAATCTAATTGATCAATCATTATCTTATTGTGTTATGTTGTAGTACCATTGAATAATGATAAGACTACAAAGCTAAGTACAGTCAATATCATTATCAGATTGATTTGACACAATATTCGGAAAGGTATATTTTTAGAAATTTATTTTTGAACGTATCTTTCTGAATGATCTATTTCTGAATCGTTTAAATTTTAAATCACCATCAATCTATGTTCCAACATAATTATAACTTCTAGCAGTGACAAATAACAATCATATTGAATTAAGTAAATAGAACGGAAATAAATGAAAAGAAATAAGAAACCTTATATACTATAGTATAAAGGAATATAACTTTATCATATCTTTCATCGTTGTAGTATGAAATATCGCTAAAGATAATGATTTGCGTAATGTTCAAACATCGTTAACATGATTCAACACTAAATTTTCTTAAAATATCATAGCATAGCACGAAATTTTTTCACTCTAAAAAAATCATTTACAACATTATTGTTAGGATTTGCATAACATGTCAAGATTTTAAATAAATGAGGATGAAATGGGTACAAAATAATAGCTATTTGCAACATTTTCTATGGCAAAAAATTGTTTCTATAAATAAAATCAATGGCAAAAGTACAATTCAAAAGATTTCAAATAACGTTTATAACTATACTGACTTATTTTCATCAAGGTATAGTTACCACTTTTTAATTTTCTGTACAAATACATAGTATTGGGTTATCCGGAAAGTTCGTGCCTATTTTGAAGGAAAATTGAAACGCAGAAGATTTAAATTTTTAATTTCATTTATTAAATTTAAATCTTTTGCGGCACGAATTTTCCGGACAACCCAATACAATAAAAAATCATTTTTTTCTCTTCAAAGTAATGTAATACAATACATATTTTTTCACTGAATACGATGCTATCGCAATCGTATTCAGTTCCAATTTACTAAAAATCCTGACGACAATTCTGACGACTAAAATTCAAAGCTGATTGAATTGCACTTTTGATATCGTTGATTTTGTATAAAAACAATTTTTTTTTGCTATGAAAAAATATTGAAAATGATTAAAATCGCATTCTTGGCATTTCATCCCAATATCCAAATATCCGGATATATGCAGATTTTGACAACGATATTGTATTCAGCGTATATAAAAAAATCTTTAGGATATGTACTATGGTAAAATTTCAGAGAAAAAAAAAAGTGATATTCAGTTTAGAACTATGTAATTAATAGAACAATTTTTTTTAACGTCCACTTATTTATGCAAGTGCGACTTCAATGCCGTTGCGACAATCGCAGTATTTCCTCGTTGCTGACGTCACTAGAGGAGATGGCTGACGTATACGCATCTATCTTCTTAACGGTTAGATACGGTAAGTCGACGGCTATTTACGATTAGGAGGGTTAAGAGAGCAATATCTTCGCAAAAAATCTTCCGTCAAGCAGGCAATTTCGCGGAGTTTATACGATCGAGATAACGCAAGCGAAAGGTTTCTTCCGGGAAGGCTTTATGCAATAACTTGTTCCGAATTGAATAAACGTTAATGTTACAAATTGCACGTACATTCAATAATAACATGTCTCAAAAATAAAAAGTGCGTAACTTGTTAATTAATGCTATGATATTTATTACGCTTAAGTTGCTACATAAACAATATACACAGTTGCAATGTTTTGCAACTGTAATAATTTTCTAATAAACTTTATATTGATCATAAATATATATTATCCGGTATATATTATTCTAATTTTTCGCTCGTTTATTAGAAATACTATGTTATTAGTAGTTCGCGATGATTTATTATAAAGTAATAAAGAAATTAATAGCCTAATAATAATTTCATTATCTCTTATCGGCATTCTTACTCTTTTTTAAACATCGCGTAGTAATCTGGAAAAATTATAAAAATGTGAAAAGCCAAGGAAATCGCATGGGTCAAGGAAATTGCAAATCTAAAGAATTTGTTGTCCCGATGACACAGAACATGATAGCAAATTGTTTAACTTGCAATAATTATAATTATGCGAGCTAAAAACAAATCATTATCATGTTATGTCATCGGGACAACAAATTCTCGAGACTTGCAATTTCCTTGACCTGTGCGATATTCCTTGACTTTTCCCATTTTTATAAGATAACGATTTGTTTACCTTACAATAATTATAATTATGCGAATTAAACAAATCGTTATCATATTATGTGTCATCGGGACACATTCAACAAATTCTCTAGGCTTGCAATTTCCTTGACCCGTGCGGTATTTCTTGACTTTTCCCTTTTTTACAGTTTTTTTCCGGATTTACAGCAACTCTGCTGACAGTAGCAAACGTAAAGCAATAAAGAATCTCCTATTATTGTCTGCTTATGATCGCGCCATGTCTGTAAACCAATGACGTTCTCTCAATTGCTTGTGTAACGTTTAATGGCGTATACTGATATATACATGTCTCAGTCTTATCTCAATTGTGCAACATCGATCGCTTTCTCTGTTTCTCGCATCTCCTGTTTTTCGCGGTTCCAATTTACTCCTCGCCACGTTCATTTCTATCAAGTGACAAGGGCTTCGCGTTCAATCGCGATTCGCTTTTAGCAGATCTGTTTGAACGATGTTAAGTGCAAATCAAATATATCGGTGGTATCATTAACGTTTCTTCGTCATTCCGTTTCTAGCTAAGCTATTTAAACGCTATCCACGTTTGAAATTGAAGCATTCCTGTCGAGATAGGATTGTGGAAAAAGACTACGAGTTCTTTTCCCAGAGATAATGTACTTTTCTCGGAGATACGATGGAACGTTAACGTTAGGTGTTCTTCAAAAAAACCTGCATTGAGACAAACTGGTTGGAAATGGAAGAACCAGAAAATCCTGATTTGTTCATTTTCAACCAGAATTCCATTCGATGCAATCAGATTCTTTTTCCAATACACGAATGTAAATCACAGATTTTCATAAAATGCTGATATAATATAAACTATATAATAACAAAACATCTTGTAAAACTTTTCGTAATGAAGATTACAAGAGTACAAATATGGCGATAATTATCATTAACATTCGTAATTATCATATATTAACTGTATCAGCTTTGATTTACATTTGTAATTAATTTTCTGCATAATATGCATATACATATTTGTAACGCCTATAGGTAGAATCGCGAATAAATTGCGAGTATGAAACCGACAAATCGATTATACGGCTGACCCGCAATCAACGATTTTTTCACGAATTTCTTCGCTGACATAGAACTGCGAACGTTCGTCGCTTATTAGTCACGGCACAATCTCCACCTTGTCGGCCAGATATTTTCGTATACACCATGACGCAACACGCCTTGACACAATGCGGTACCACAAATTTCCCATTTAAACATCAAACAACCCAAAATTATTATATTTCCCTGCAAATAAAATCCCGCATAGATATCGTACTGAACAATGACTTGTGTGCATAAGCGTAATGGAATTTTGAACGAAACAATCCACTAGTTTAATCTTAAAAGCCAGCTGTGCTTCGTTTACAGCATTTGAAACATTTTGGTGTTCAAACGACAAACACTGAACTATCAGTCATAACTGCATCAACGTCAGATATCAAATTTACTTGAATTCTGGAAAAATAGATTTATTTCTCTCACAGCGAGAGAGAGAGAGAGAGAGAGAAAGAGAGAGAGAGAGAGAGAGAGAGAGAGAGAAAATCAGTTTCACTTTGGAGGTACATATCCCGCGGTATTTTCCAATCGGAGGGATTCCGCGGTAAACAATGAGCTTTTTTTTGTGCAAATAATAGATAACACGCTCGTCCCGATCACGCTGGCGGATGTTTTCCGTTTACGCGTCCATTAAACGCGTTAATTTGCCGTCTTTTGCGACTGCGACGCTGCGGAAGGTTCGAGTTCGCTTGGAATTGGGAAATAATTGGAAGATTACTGTGATCCCGGTGTAAAAACAGCGGACTAATACGACGACAAACAAATAAACGTCACTGTCGCCGATAATCCATACTTTCTTACCCTGCATAAACGACGAAGTATACGGCTGCGTGTTTGGAAGTGCTCATTACGACGCCCGTTTGGACGATCGAATTATGTGCCGTTCATTTTCCAGTTCCTTTTTTTCTGTCTTTTATTCTTAATCTCCATACTTCACGTACTCGCTGAAGTTCTGCCTTAAGCCGATATTATGTGAGTTTACAGTGAATTTATGACTTCATTAATTTATCTATTTGATAGACTGCTGAATATACAGAGCGATATTTTCAAGTTTCTCGAGAATTTATATGAATTCGCAAACTTGTTAAAGACAATTACTAAGATATAAGCGAAAAATGTAGGGGGTCTTTCCACAAGAAAATTCTCGGAATCACATTAAGTGATAAGACTTTGCGTTCTGTAGACAATTTTGAGACACGGATATTACTTAAGAGAACCTTACTTCGAGACTTGGTAGCGGATATACCGCAAAATTGCCCGCAGGCAATCGGTTGGCCATTATTGGTAATGGAGAGTTTTAAGAGCTGAGAAATCTCCTGGAGGCTTCTTCCGTAAGTTCCTCGATAATCAATTCAATTTCGATAGTCTTGTACAGACTCTTGCGTTCCAAAATGACCGAATATTTTGAACAAACCGATAATTTACATGGATAAGTCACAAGACTCCTGTGTTCGAAACTGACAATAAAAGTGCATTTAAAAAATGAGAGAAAGCATCATATGTATATTTTGCGTAAAACCGAAGAGGACTTTTTTCCTTTTTTTCCCCTCTTTTCGCCAAAGTTACGGGATACAGACTGCGATATTTTTTTTTGCGCGCAGGCGGTCGCAAAGCAAATTGTTTGCTTTTAAAACAGCGCTGCAAAAATAGCTCGGATGGCATGTTTACACGCGATCCTACGACGACCGACCGGTAATCGAATATCAGCCGCGATTATTCTATGGGCATTCATCAGTGACACGTCATGCATGAGGTTGCACTTCGTGCGCGGAATAAAGAAGTCGACGAAGTTTCGCGTTGTTCACATTATTTAATTCGAAGTCTGGAACTTGAGGCAAGTATTGACCTCGTAAAAAATGGGTGCAGCAAGAAGTACTGCGACATGCCGAGTAGAAACTTCAGCATAACGATATTTAACTTCATCGTCGCACTCTTCTTTCAAAATTGCTCGTTCAACATTAAGTTCCTTAATTACCGTACACCGAAAAAAAATCTGATTGCATTAGAATTCTGGTTGAAAATAGACAAATCAAAATCTTCTGTTTGAATTTATTATAATTTTAGTTGAGATAACCGAAATTTTTATTGATATATAATCTAAATTTTCTGGTGCATTCATTTTCTCAACTAGAAATTTTTCTCGGTGTAAGCAATTTTTAGTTAATCATAAGCGATAATACGGTACGTCGACATTAAAAAAGAATCCTCTCTATTTAATAGAATTTATATAATAGGTCATTTTGATAATCACTTTAGTAAGCAAAAAAATATCACATCATAATTTTCAATTCTTTTCTTCATTTTGTTGATTACTTCGGCACCACCCTATATAAATTCGATGGCCTTTCCCTCTAATAAGAGGAGATCATCAAGACGAGCGTTTTCAAAGGAACGGCTCGATTCATTAAGTTCGAAAGGGTTTCATCCGCAGGAAGGGTATTCGGAAATGTTCGTGGAGGTACTTACGTGAGCCGTAGGTACAGCGTCGTTTCTCTGGCTGAAAGTGGACCTAGCCGACATCGATGGCGCGTCGATAATAGAATCACTAGAGCACTGCCACCATTGCCGTGTCCTACATTACTTGCCATACCGACAGTTCCGAAATCACTGCACAAAGAAAAAGAATCGTGTACAACAAAGGCAATTCCAGTCGGTGTGTAATACATCTAGATAATTACATCTAGATAATTACGTCTTACGCAAACAACGTCAAGCTCGTTACGTGGTATTTTTTTCTTTTCTTTAGAATAGCTTTCAGCAACGGACTTTCGAGAGAATAGAGATAAAAACGATATTTTTTACCGTTAAAACCAGTAAAAGAGCTACGGCTAATAATAATGTAATACAACAGCGCATGTGCGTATGTAAAATCACTTAATTGGACGTGAGCGCGTTGTTTTTCAATCCTTTCATTTAGCATAATTATCAATGAGCGATATGCTGGCATTGAATATGTGTGCTGAATACAGCATCAAACGTGCGAGAGAGTGAGAGAGAGAGAGAGAGAGAGAGAGAGAAAGAGAGAGAATATCTTATAAAAACAGACATGCCAAACAAGTTTCTCTCGTAATAATCGATATCTAGATTCGCTACATCAAGATGCGACTGAATAGATCTAAACACTTTAAATCCCAAATTCCTTTTTAAGCCCATTCCACACTGAACACGATGAGAGATATCATCGTATCCGAAAAATCAGAACTTTAATTAGATATCGCTCATCGCTCATCGCGTTCAGTGTGCAATGGACCTTAAAATTATCTCGTGCTTTTAATCGATGTACGAGACGTATCACGCATAAAGAAAACAAAAACGAAAGAAATCAATTAAGAGAAATAAATCTCTTTTCAGTTCAAAAGCGAATCTTAATGCAAAAATATTTCACAGAATGAATTTATTTGTATACCCAAGTCTAGCATATCGCGCGTAGAAATATTTTTTGATTTTGAAACGCAATTATGAACAGAATTAGAATAGTAATATCACATGTTATATCCTGGCTGAGATAATAATTTCCGCAATAAATTATTTACAATTCTTAAGATGCTTAGAGTAGATCTTAAAAATTATTATAACAAGCATCTTAAAGGATATTAATAAATATAAATAATTTAATTTATTGCGAAAAATATTACCTTAGTCAGGATATAATATGTGATATTACTACTCTAATAATCTAGTTCTGTCCATGAATGCGTTTCAAGACTGAAAAGATTTTAGTGTGTAGTTTGGAGAATTGGATATCTTATATAAATTTAATCTAAAATATTAAAATCTATACTTTGATCAAAAATAGATTTATTTCTTTTAATTGATTTATTCTCGTCGGTAATACAAACCATAATTATTTACTACACGTTTCCTTGGAAAACGAAATAATAGTCGATGACAATATCTCGCAATAGTTAAATAAATCGACTTATTATCCGGTATCTCGATTCTCTTATTATGCAAGATATATAATCAAGTAGAATCTGTTTTGTGGAATCATGCTATTTACAAGTCTTTCGATAGTTGCAATAGAAAGTAGGTCAGCTATCACATATTTAGAGACTTGTCAAAGATCTTATCTTTACAGCAACGTCGTTTGAATTTTCAAGTTAAATTGATCGCAGAATATTTCAAAGTCGTTCTAAATTTTAAATGTTTCTGTCACACCTTATGTAAAACTTTATTAGCAAGTAGGAATTTAAATAGTCTTTTGCGATAGGCTTTTTTCTATCGTATTGTTCAATGCATGACAAACGAATTGCGTTTGAATATCGATTTATTATATCGGAAATATAATATTTAAGATTGATTTATGCTCTTTAAACTCTTACTATCGCGTCATATTTCAAAACTCGTATTAGCAAGTACATGTGAATTTAAAAAAAAAAATATCTTGCATGATAAAAAGCTTTTCTTTTCGTGTTATTAAATTTATGGCGAACGAATAGCGTTAGAATATCGATTATTGATTCATGAAAAATTAATATGGTTTATGATCGATTTATGTCAGATAAAAATGACATCGCATAAAAAGGCGGCAAAGAAGACATGGGATTTTTCTAAATGCTAAATACGAATATCTCGAATATATTGTAAGCGTACGTACATTTAACGTTTAACGTTTTATATAAAGTCACGAATCACCCTTACCGTAAACGTCTATCATGTGTCGAGTTTTTATATACAGAAAGTCAGAGTAAACGCACGTATTATTCCACGCTCGCTATTATTCTTTTAACATTCAATTGTTCAGCACAATCGGATCTGATTGAAGGTAATTGATAGTATTTGCGAAATGAAAATTAGATATCGTGTTGAAATATTGCAAATATGTATATGTATATGTATATGTATACTGCCATTGCTATCAATTTTATACGGTATGCAAATACAATTTCCGCTCTTTCTCTTCTATCTTCTCTCTCACTCACTGTGCTAAAAGCTTATCCTGTAATTATGAGATGAATACGTTTAAGCGAAAGCTTTGCCCGATGTAAATATAATTTTTATGCTCAAGGACGGCTTATTATATGTTAAAGTGTGAATTTTACCAAAACCGAATCGAAATAATGTTACGTCCCTTAGGTATACGTTTGCAATTATTATATATTAAAATAAATAATAAAAAATTTTAATTAATTTTTTAGATATTATGCAGTTATACATATTTGAAGATAACATTTGTTTATGCCTACATTGCATCTATTAAAACGGAAATAATGAAATACAAGTAGTCATTAAAAAAACATACGTGATTTAACATAATTGGTTTCGTTTCGAAATAAATTTACAAAAATAGATATTATACAAAACCAAATGCAAAATTTTAATCTCGCGATTAAGCTCGCTCGAATAAAAAACAGTTTTAAAAACAGTTTTAAAAAAAAGTTTTACATATTCTTTAATGGTGATGAATTTATAACGATTCAAAATAATACAATAATAATTTTTATATTACAATATATAATTTTTTCGTAACGCATCTTAAAAAATATAATTTAAAAAATAAAAAAGGTGCAAAATATTTGCTTAAACATTTATGATCCTAGTTGAAGCATTTATTGCTATTTTTTTTATAAAACTCGCAATTTTCCTTAGAAATCTGATAATTCTTGATACGGTTAGATAAAATTCCTGATATAGAAAAAATTTGGTATCTTCAATCCATTATCCAAATAAAACAATGTTTTCGTGACGATAACCGATGTAATATTAATCTGCCAAGAATTATTGGAATTTAATCATTATAAATGAATTTTCACGCAAAACAATATTAAATAATTAAAATACTCGCGACTTGATATCTTTTTTCTTGTTTTGATCCGCTTCTTTACTAACGGCAAGCATCATAAAATGTTGCGATCGTACAGGAATGGAAAAATTTCAATATATTTCTCGACGAAGCTAAATTATAGAAGCACGACGATGGCAACGGCGACGATGGCGACGAACGAATGTCCGCGTTTGCAAGTTGCCGAACCGACCACGCGTCGTCCACTCGTTTCATCCGTATTTCGTCCCTCCGAGCAGGTTGTTGTACACACACTTTCGCAATGGAATCCCAGTTATTTCAAAGGCACGCATACGCACACACACGCGCGCGCGCGCACACATACACACGCACGCACACCGGCCGTTCTCGTTGTTCCCGAGATAGGCGTTCGAGCGTTGATCATCGCTGCGCTACGCACACACTATCGTAGGGCAAACATCGACGAACACGATCACAAATGCGTTCCTCCCTGGATATTCTCCGAACCAATGTGCGCTCGCGCACGTTTGCATGCTCGTGCATTATGCATCGATTCACATTACGCGCCAAGTACTGGACCTCCGGGAATTTTAGGGCACTTCAATAATGCAGATATCTTTCGGATAATAGAGCTCAACATATCACGTTTGGTTTCAGTGAGAAACAGGTGACTCTTGAACGATGCAGGACTCGGGTTACGAGTAGAACACACGGAAAATTGAGAAAGTCATATAACGTTACTTCTAAAAAACGAGGCGTGACGTTATACGAGTGCTTTGTACCACAAGATAAATTTCGTGCTTGTAGCAAAAGTCGGTGACATCGTGAGAATAAAATAATGGAGACACTAAAACAGAAAATTTGACATTCGAGATATGAAGGTAAAAATCTGTTCGGAAGTCTCGTTTTTCTTCTGTTTCTTAGATTTAATCAAAGAAAAATTGTGAAAACAATTTAGCTGAAAAATATAATTAATAATTTACAATTACAAATATTATATATTTACATTTAATAATTTAAATAATTAAAAAAGCAATCACGATATCAAAGCATGAATAATTCAATCTCATATTAACCATAATAACCATAGTAACCACAATAAAGTAACAAAGGAAAATTTTTTTTAACGCATAAATCGTAATATTAAATGTATCTAAATACAATTATTAAACAATGAATAATTTTAACGTAAAATTTTTGTTATCAGTAACGATCGAAAAAAGTTTCGGCATAATATCATTAATGATTTTCTCGTTCGATGAAATGAAAACTGAAATAAAATATTGAATAAAGGGAGAGAAGAGCAGAAAAGAGAAATCAAACGATATTGTATTCCAAAATTTTCCCGTATCGCCACAATGCGTTTCGCCCACGGTATTAACTCGACAATATATGTATGATTTTGTGAATAGAAATTCCTGTATCGTACACGAATATGTAAACAAAAACTCCACGAGTTGGAACGATACTAAACGCGACGCATGTATGCGGCGCACGTATGCGAATATCCGCATCGTTAGGCTTCTACTTTTGCAACGGAGAGACACTTCGTAATGTCCCACGCGAGTACAAATTCAAACTTTGGAGAAGTCTAAAGCCTAGGCCTCCACCTGAGTACCACCACCGTTACAGATATTTGTATTGCAACTATTCGCAGATGCTGCTGTTACAATATTTCATGCCAACATAAGCATGGCTTCGAAAATTTCATCCCAATGCGTATAACATTGTTATGGAATATTTGTGTCGTACAGAATAACTCTATCTTCTCGACGTGGCGACGGTAGTCATTTCCGCATCGGTTCACCCGAGTGCACCGCCTCTTCAAAAATTCATCTCTTTGCACGATATTCTTGCCGGCAGG